CCACTGGACACAGCTCTGAACAACTTCCTCTCACTGACTCTACTTTGAGCAAGGAGGGGCAGGCCAGACATTCTCCAGACATCCCTACCAGCCTACACTTTCTATGAAATCTTACACTTCTTGCTAATGTTTAATATTAGAGACCTTTTTTGTCTATGCTGCTTTTAAATATGGAAATGTTTTAAACCATACATTTTCTTGCTTTCTCCAAAACTATTAGGAGAAATAACCAAAATTTTTAAGAACATCCCTGAAGCACCTTCTAAAATAACTTCAACACTTGGCTCTGATCCAGCATTAGAAAGACATAATTGCAATACAAAAACCAAAGAACATTTTAAAAGTTGAGCTTCTGGACAGCAACAGGACAAATACACTGTTAGCCATCACATTCTAGTGAAACTTCTTTGTTTTGCAAAAGAAGAGAACAGAGAGAAGCAAGACAATTCCAGGCAGACTTTTCTATAGTGGCTGAACAGGTTCTGGTGCATCTGTTCACATCCAGAAACCTAGCATCAGGAAGCTATCTTATCACCCACAAAAGCAAAAATGGACGTCAGAATAATTCTGAACTTCCTCAAAATGACCATATAGGCCAGAAACCCAAACAGTATGGTTAACTCTGACACACATTCAGGCATTCAGGCATATTTTTGCCTAGTGGATGGAAAACATGAAATTTAAAACACCTTCCTCTTTCTCCATCCTGTCAGCACTCTCCCTGTTTCCTCCTAAACTGAGTTTAAACTAGGTGCACCTCAGATAGTTAATCTTCTGAGACATAAATCAACTATAATTCCAGACTTTCAATAAATTCTGTGAAGCACCTGTAGTCAATTCTAAAGCTCAAGATATGCCAAAGCAGTCTTAAAACACTCCAGCCATTACTTGTCCAAGATACACAGAAATGCTTGGTCTACTGCAGAGGAATTATACTCATCTTTCCCCACATATGCAAATTATTAACCTGTCCAAATGTTTTCCACATCTTGTTGATAAGCAACAACACAAATAAATCAAATAAATAATTCCTCCCAACCTTGGTTTTTTTAAAAAAGACTAGCCAATCAGTGCAGCCCACTTCACACAAGATGCATCTACACACCCCAGCTGGGGCAGCCATCTCTGACAGCTCCCGTTCTCTGGCGGCTGTCAGAGCCAACACTTTTCTCAGCCAGCCTGCCACTCTTCCCAATTCGCCTTCCAGACCTCCCATCCAACCTCCCAGCAGTCCTGCAGCCTCTGCTCACCCAGCCACTCCCACCCAGCACAACCATAAGAATGGCCCTTGGGAGCATGAGAGCCCCAAGACAGCCTTTAGCTTTGCATCACAATGAAGTAAGAGAACATAAACAACTGGTTATCATCTCAGCTTTGCAGCTTCTTAAACCATCATCTGATCATGCTACAAGCACACAGCTGACCATCAAGGCTCTGCTTGACCTAAATATGTCTGCTCTTTTGTTTCCTCCCTTATGTAAAGCTTTACCATCTTCTGCTTTGCTTCTCATTTTCACCTAATGCTAAAATCTTTGCAGATGTTTAAACTGGAATGAAACTAGAGTATTTATAACTAAATGAAAAAAGAATCCTAAATATGGAAGTTTGAAGTGGAATTATTAGTCAAAGATAAATAGTGAAAAAGCAAGACCCAAACTAAAACTTCTCAGATTTTGAACTCCCAAGAGAGAAAGACATCCTAGAATGAGTCATCATTCTAGGTCAGGCAGTAGCACACAGCATCCCAGCAAGGCTCTCACACAAACCAGCAGGCAGCAATATACAAGGCAAAGCTGCCATGGCAAGTGTTTGAACCAGCCATGGATGCAGCAGTATGGCAACCAAGGAAAAGATGCTCAGGTAAGTAAGCCAGAACTCAAGGCCATCTACATTAATATCAAACACCATGAGATAACATACTGGGGTTGGTTGATGATTAGGCAGAGTAAATCACGGTGTCACAGCTGAAAGACTGCAATCTTCATCAATGCACAAAGACAAGATCAGCAGTAATGCCTGCTAGTGCCTCTCATCCAAAAAGAAATACAGTTCCAACCAGAATCATCAGCCAAGCTGAAAACCTTGCTGTCTAAAGACAACCTGCCAGGTCATTGACAGGATGGAAAGGAGAAGAGGGTTGAGTTTAGTTCTGTCAATTGCCTTCTTCATTTCCTTTTCATTACAAGCAGCTGCCATTTTCATTAGTGTTTTACTTCCTCACTAATCCTTTCAGTGGTGTTACAGCAATGAGCATTCAAACCGTAGGCCCAGACTCAGAAACCAATACAGAATCACAGGATAATTTCAGCTGGAAAGGACCTCTGAAGGTCACCTGGTCCAACCCCTGGGCTCAAAGCAGGGCCAGCTAGATCATTACAAACACAATCACATTTGCTCCAGCTCTTCCCCAGATCCCAGACACGCAATATTCCCTGTGTTCCTAGGGGAGTTTTGCTGTTGCTTTTAAATCATACTGCTGGTCTCTTGGGGAGCAGCTGCAGCATACCATTTCAGCCAGGAAAGCAGTATGCTAGCCCAGCATGCTGGCTCCAGCCCTGCCAGTTTCTACCAAGCAAATGTCAGTAAAATAGTAACAAAACAACCCTGAAACAACAGTATCGCTATCCATTGACATGCAAGCTCTTCAAGCACTTCTAAGAGGAAATACCTAGTTTGACTTCTACTATCCATTAGTGTAGATTGAGAGTTTGCCAGATGTTCAGCAGTCAGAACTGCAGTCCAAGGACAGAATATAACAGGAAAGAGCTGCCCTCCCACTGCTACATTAGGCATCATCACCCATGCAGAGGTCTCAAACTGATTGAGCTATACTCCTGGGAAAGGGATGAGCATCACAAACTGCAGGAAGAGAATTATGTTTGTCTGTGCATATAGATTTCATTTTCCATACCACGTATGAGGTATTTACAATGTAAGACTTTTTAGCTTCCTCCTTTCTTCCACCCTCCAATATGATAATCACAGAAGACCAGGAAAAAAAAGGCTCTTTATTGCACCAAATCTCTTTTGTTCTTCTGTTTTTCACAAGGAATGTATTTCAGGGCCTTTAGTCCCTCCCCTCTCTTTATTAAGGTCATATTAATTAACTCCAGTGTCTAGTTCAGCTACTGTTAGGTATCTCCTTCAATTTATATTTAGTTTCCACCCAAAATATTCTGAATCATTCAAGAGTTAGGTTGTAGGAGTGTAAAAATTACCAGAATGCTATAACCTAACTCACAGAAGATATGTAGGAAGGGCCTATCTGCACGTATGGAAAGTAGTGAGTGAGCTTATATTCATTTAGATTTTTAACTAAGATTTTGGCTTCTCTTGAATTGCATTTGCTTTCCCCTGAAAAGCCTCTTAAACATTAAGACAACAACTTATTAACTTAATAGGAGTAAAGAAGTACCGCATCAAAACTGTTTTGCCCATTTTGAACTGCCAGGAACCACACGTCCTGCACCAGCATTCTAGTATCCTGTCAGACCTACTGCTCCTCCTCATCAATCAATCCATCCCCAAGATGCACAATTCCAGCTGCACAGTGAGAACAATCTTAAAGATCAATATAGGAAAGTCAGCAATCATTTAACCATCATCTGTTTTTCAGTATGTTTATGCTCTTCAGCACTCTATGCATCCAGTACTATGAAACAAATCTTAGCGCTATCAGGCACTTTAAAACATCTAGAAACATTTTTTAAAACACACTGGTTGAGCAAATAAATAGGTTTGGCAGAAAGGATGCTTAAAAGGGGTTGGAATCCTAATACATTTTTGAGCTCTGTCATTAGTCTACAACCTGCTGTATGACCTCAGACAGCTATTTTGCTTCAGCTTCCCTTATGTAAAGTAAGCTGTAATGTACAGATGAAAATTATTTTAAAGTTTAGCAAGTATTTAGAAACTTCTATCGGTAACACTTTGACATTTGTTAAAAGCTTGACAAAGCCACTTCATCCACCAGTACAATGCTTTGCAGTTTTTCTTCCTATCTGGAAAATCCTAACACCATACAATGCTGTTGCACAGCAAGTTTAAAAAACAAGACTTGCTTTAAAAGAAGAAAAATAAAAGGCACTTTTTTCCTAATTTTAAAGATGTTTTTGTAAAAAAAAAAAAAAAATCAGAGGTAATATGTGTAATTTTCCAAGGGCCAAGGCCAAAACATGACATCACGTCATTTTAGAAGATATTTTGGAATTCTTTTAAATATGTGAATATTTTTAGGTATCAGTTATTTAGAAATGCATAATCGCTTTGAATTTTATGAGCATATGTCAACACGAGATTTGGCTAGACCAATTAAGGAAGATGAGTTTTCATTAGGCTTTTGTTATGGGGATTGTTAAACTAGCTTCAGCAAGAACACGTTTCTAGCCTGCAAGATCCATCTCATCACACCAGGTCCCGAGGTCATCAAGGCTCCTTTCAGAGGCAACGGCGCATGAGAGATAAGGACAGAAAACGCTCTCCTTAGAAAAAGAGCGCGATACAGGAAGCAGCTTTCCACCACCGCGTTCGCTTCTAAACAGCCATTTTACTTCACTACATCCTTCCCTACTGCCAGCCTTCATTTTGTGCTCCCGCATGGCTGCGCGGCTCCAGGCTGACAGCCGAGCGAGGATACCGGGGGCGCGCTCAGGTGGAGGTGAGATGCCTCCCAGCCTCTCCGGGTTCCGAGCGAGCCGTTCCGGTGCCAGGGTCGGGGGAGGAAGGCTTCCCGCCTCCCCCCGTTTTTGAAAGTAAATGAAGGCGCCGCTCCCAATGGCGGGGGAGGGGGGAGCTTGGCTCCCTCCTCCTCCCGGGAGCCCGGCTCCTCCTGGAGAGGCAGGGGAGCCCGGGGACCCCTCTCCTGGCAGGTCGGCCCTGCTATCGTCCCTCCCCCCGGGCGGGCAGTGCCGTGTGTCCCGTCCCTCCCCCCGGGCGGGCGGGCTGGCTGTGCTGTCTCTCCCCCCGGCAGGCCGTGCGAGAGCGGCGGGGCGGGCACTCACCGCTCCGGCAGAGTGAGAGGCAGCGGCGGCGGCGGCGGCCTCATCCTCCTCCGGCGACGGCGGGCCGATCTTGCTGCAGGTGGCCGCCAGCAGAGCGAGCGGTGACGGCTGCGCGTCCTACCCACAATGGGCGGGTTCAGGGAGAGAAGGGGGGTGGCGGTTAGTGCGGGACAGCGACCGGGCTCCTCGCAGACGCGCACACAGGAAGCGGCGGCGGCGGCACCGGCTCCGCGCCCCGCTCACAACGTGTCACCCGGGGGAGGGGGGGAAGGGGCCCAGCCGGGCCTGCGCTCACCTGGGGGGCGGCCGCCCCGGCGGAGGCCGAGGCGGCGCCGTTGCCGTGCTGGAGATATTCGCTGTGGCTGCTGCTGTCCACGTCTAAGGCAGCCATTTCCTCTTGTTTCACGGGCTTCTCGGGAGCTGCGGGCACAGCGGGGAGGGGGAGGGGAGAGTCACTGACGGGAGCGATCACCCCCCTCCCTCTCCCTTCCTCCCTCCCTCCCTTCCTCCCTCCCTCCCTCTCCCCCCCCTAACCCCAGCGCTCCCCCCGCCCTCCCGCACGGAGCCCTCCTCCTCCTCCTCCTCCTCCTCCCCGTGCTGCTGCCCCTGCCCCTCTTCTCCCTCCTCCCCCTGCTCCTCCTGCTGCTGCTCTCAGTGCCGCTCTCGCCTCGCTCGCACACGGACGCTCCGGGGCCGGAGCGGGGACGCGCAGGGCCGGAGCAGGAGCGGGGAGCCCCCGGGGCGGCTCGGTCGGTGCGTACGTACCGGTCATGGTGTGAGTGCGAGCGGCCGGCTGGCTGGGCGGGAGGCAGGCAGGCAGGCAGGCTGGCTGGCTCGCACACAGGCCCTGCTGGCTGGGGCTAGGCGGCTGCCGCCGGGGACATGCTTATTGTGCTCACGGCGGGCTGAAGCGGCGGCGGCGGCCCGAGCCTACTCCGGGTTTTTTTTCCTATTTTGATTGACGGTGCGGGAAAGCCGAAAGGTGGGGCTTGCCGCGGGAGAGGGGGCCCGGCCGACACCGCCGCCCGCCCGCCCGCCTGCCAGCCCGGAACTCCCGCCCACGCCCGCGCGCGCGCGCTCTCATTGGCTGCGCCGCGCCGCCGCCGCCGCTCGCACGGGCCGCCCGGGCTGCCAGTCACCCGCCGGGGGCGGGGGGGGCGCCCCATGCCGGGGCGGCTTCCTGTTTGCCGGGGCTAGTGCGGGGAACAATGAGCGGGACCCGCCGGGAGGCCCCGGCCCGCGCCGGCAGGGCACCCGTCGTCCCGGGAGGCGGCATCGCTGCCGCGCTCCCCTGACACCGCGGAGCCCGGCCGCCCGCAGGGGTCAGCGCATAGGCACAGCTGCGCGGCGGTGGCGCTATGCCTCCGGCCCCCCTCCCCCCGCGCCCCCGCCGCTGTTGTGCCGGGGGGCGCCGGGCCAGGGCTGCGATCTTTCGAATTCTCCCCGCCGGGGCTGTCACTCACGGCCGGCGACAGCCGCGGCTCCAGGGCGGCGGCCGAGCAGCGCCCGGCCGACGGACAGCGCCGCCGCGCTTTGTCCCTCCGGCGCTAAGATGTCGGCGCGGCGTCCCCAGGGAAGCCGGTCCGGCAGGGCGGGCGCTGCTCGGGACCTGCCGCTGGCCGCCCCCCCGCGGGACCGGGCGCCCGGGTCAGCGCCGGGAGCAGCGCCCGCCTCGGCGGGGCGACCCCGCCGTGCCGCCGTTGCATAAGCGCTGTGGCGGGCTCGCACCAGCCCGAGCCGGGCGGGGGAACCGAGAACCTCCGCGGTCTCTAAGGCAGAACAAAACCCGTCCCGGATAAGGCCGCGAGTTCGATTGTAATGCGCCACGTCCTCCCAGCGGGAGTACCTGCCGTGAGCTGGGCACCTGAGCCTTGGCATGGATCGAACGTTGTACCAGCAGGCTTTATTTTCATCGTGTTAAGGAGAATTAATAAGATTCCCCTCAACGTCAGTTTGCTGGTCTGTGTCTCGTGTTACGCAACACAAAGGAAACTGGGATCTCTCGGATTGTTAAACTAAGACAGGAAATATGTTTAAAACGTTACATAAGTATATGATGATACAGGAATGATTATTAGTGGGCCTGTTTCTCTGTAACACCACTTAGCTTGGGAAGGGTTCCTGTAAAGGGAAGCAATTTGGGCTCGGCCTCCCGTCACATCTGAGTGCGTGTGCAGGGTCACGGGACAGTGTGTAGTTTGAGACACTGATTCTGACCCTTAGCTTGTAAATTCTCCCGAGGAATGACTTTTTCATGGTTTCCCTTAGTGTGGTGTTCCAAGGAGTCTGAATGAGGCCAGAAAACCTCAAACCTACTTTCCTGTTACAATCTTTAGTGTAATTAGAGCTGAGGATGATACAGTGAGCACAGTCTCATATGTCCACAGTTGGGCTGAGTATGTGGAGTCCCAGGCTCCTGAGATAAACTCATGGCCAAGTTAGTGACTAGGAAACCCAGAAGTACGGTCAGGATTTTCAACAGCCTCTCTGAGCAGAGAATAAACAGTGCTTTTTAATCAGTCCCAGCACTATGACCTTGCAGTAACTGCCCAAGCTTAACTTAAAAATTATTACAGAACAGGAAAAAATGCACTCAGAAATTGTGAATTTAATATCAGGAAGTTAGGATGGATTCAGATTGTTGTTACTGTATGACGTATAGTCTTATTACTAACCCATTTACTTTTGCTGGTGTGTTGAGAGTATCTTCAGGTGACTTAATAGTAAGTTGTAAATTAATCCCCAGTCTTTTTGTCACGATTCATTTTTGCCAAGGTAGTTAAAAAAACCCCTTCTGTTATTTAATGTTATTTATTTTTATAGTCTTGTGTAATTCTACTTTAGAGTTAGTTGTTGGCAAGATAGATAACACAGCCATAAAGAAAATTTTTTCCAATTTGTATTTTTTATTTTAATAAACAAAAAACTGTGACTGGGAACAGAAGTCAATGTTTTTCTAAAAAGTGTCAGAAATAATTTTTAGCCAGTGAAAGCTAATATACACAACCTTTAAAAATCCATCAATATACATACATAAGGACATTTCAGGAAGAAAATGAAAATGCAAAATTGACTGACTAGTGCAGTATTTTTAAAAAAAGACTTGTACAGCTGGTCTACAACTTCGAGTTTGTTTGGCAGTATCAGAAATTGCTAGTGAAACGTATGAGAGTCTGTCATCCTGGAACCAGAACTATTACTGATGACTTTAGACTTCTTGTAACCAAGCTGCTCATTTAAAGACTGATGTATAAGAGAAATAATTCCTGTTAAGATGCTGTGATGGGGAAAATTATATTGAAAAACTGGCCCTTGCTATTTAGCAGGCTATTGCCAAAGACTATCAATGGCATTTTGCTTTAGGAAGATCGTGTTGTCTGGGGCTTAATCTAAATATGAAAGGTGTTCTTTCTTCTACAGCTGGGTGTGGGTGCATGTTGAGAGCTGTCTGACTGGAGGGGGATGTTGTCAATAGAGTAGTTTACCTTACATGGGTCTGATTGCAGGCTTGGGGCATTACTGCAATGCTTTAAGACAGAAAGATTTGAAATACCAATAGCGGGATTGAGTTTATATATGAAAGAGTTTTCCCAGGCAATAAAATTCAGGTGTAATCAGGCTTAACACTAGCAGAGAACCATCTTTTTCTAGTCAAATATCTAAAATTGGGGGACACTGTTATATTAAATTCAGATAAAGAACTAAGCCAGAATATTAATAACCCGTTTAAAAAGTAGACCAAAAAATCAAGATAAATTACAAGAAAGTTGCAAAAAAAGATATGCTCATATGAAAAAGAGGTGTAAAGATAACCAGAATCATTAAATACAAAATCACATGTGGCTGTTTTCTGCTTCCCAGCAGCTATTAAGAACACATAAGAAGGAAAAAAATACAAAAAAAAAGGAAGAAAAAAAATACAAAAAAAAGGAAAATATGTTGTGGGTTTTTTTTTTCCTTACCAACATACTAGCATTAAGACATTAATAATTAGAAAAATCCTGGATGCATGAGGGAATGCTGTATCAGAGCTGGACATCTGAGTTCCCCTAGGTGCTGGTTTTCCTGCAGTAGCCCCAGAGACTGAGCTCCATGCCCAACTAGAGAGCTGTTGTTTTCTCTTCCTTGAGCTTGCCCACAAGATGTACCACATCCATATGTGATCTGAATAAATTAACCATGACCAGTTAATTCTTAGAGCCTTGCCTCTGTAAAGCCTTGCCTCCTGCTTCTAGGCAGTTCCTGGTTTACTGCAGGAATGTCCTGGGATGACTTCTCTATCAATTTGCTGAAAATGGTTTGTTGTAATTTGAGCTGTGCAGATACAGAGAAGGTAATACTGCTCTATAAATAATAAGAATACTTCTACCAGATACCAAAATGCAGCAGTTTCAGAACTGAGATGCAGCCTTTGGGGTAAGTAGCAAAATAATACGGAAGAGGAAACAATGTCTTCCAGCTTCTGATGAAACTTGAGCGAAGGTTTTGACAGATGAAACAAGATGCAACTTGGAAAGAACGCTAAAACTTAATACCTACTCTGTATTTCAGTTGTAAGCTCAATGCTGTATTTGTCCACTGTAACTTATATCTCATATCTCATTGGTTTAAGTCTTGGAGCTCAGTCTCAGTGTCAGTTCAGTACAAATTCAGAAGGAAGTGCGCTGTCTTAACACAACTTCCATCCAGCACAGTGTCTGCTACTTGGAAATAGCTTTTCTATTTCTATAGTCCTTTGAAATTTCTGAACTATGACATGTTATTTCTGTCTTTAGTGGTCCCTGCTATGGGTAGCCCTGCATTTCTTTAAAGGATTATATTATTGAAGGTTTGTTGGAATGTGGTCCAGTTCAGTTTTCACAGCTGTGGTACTCCATTCCTGTTGAGTGGTGGTTTTGCCATGCTGAAGCCTAGAATGCAACTGGACAAGATGGACAGGAATGCATTCTGCTGGGACAGAATGTGACACCAGGAAAACTCAGGCTAAGTTCACTTTAGTTTGAAAGGCTGGGTCTGAAATGCCTATGAAGAATCAGTAGGGATTCCATTCAACTATCTACCTTAAAACATGTCCTTTACTGGAGGGACAACAAGCAGGATTATCTTTCAATCTCATACCTCAGAAAATAACTAGAACACCAAAAAACCTAACTATTCAGGAGACATATCTTTTGGAATTTGAGATACCATCTTCTGTTTTCGTAATCTGTTTAAAATTTCAGAGGAATCTGGAAAGCCATATGTTTTCCTAAGTGCTAAACATTTGCATGGTACTACAAAATCCAAGATAATGACAAGGTTTTGAATCAGACCTCTTAAACTTCCTAGCTTCATTATTAATTTCAGCCTGCTTTTGCAATTTGTTTAAGTCTCAGGAGACATGAATAAGAGTGTAGCTAGCAGTCCTGGAGATACTGCACTCTTAATTTCTACATCCCATATGGTTCCATTTGCTTAAGAATATTGGGTCATCTTTACATAGGGCCACAGGCAGGACTGACAGGAAGTTGACCTGTGAGGTTTTGTGAGTCAGCACAGAGTAGTTGAGATAGTTGCATGACTTGAGTTCATCAAATAGAGAAATGAGCCCTTGCAAGTATAAAATCAGCAGTGGTTAAAGAAAAGTCTTGACTGGCATTGTGTCATCATCCTCCAGAAAGCACCTCCCTGTTCTTCTGGCAACAAGAACAAAAATTTTGCTGGGGGGAAGTAGGCTTTAGCAGTAGGGGTGGTCTGCCCAGAAGCTGAGCCAGCCTAACAGCTCATGGATATTGCCATAAGAAAATCCTGCAAAAATATGCTTCTGATACTGCAAGCTAAATTGAGTCAAACTAGACACAAGGAGCAACAGAGCTCCATGGGTGGGAGAGACAAAGAGAGGTAAGACTCCCTTCAGCAGCTGCAAGTAGATTAATTCAGGGTGTCAGACTTGCTGAACAACACGGGAACTTGCTTTGGTTGTGTTTTGTGTAAAGTGTCTCGTCAGTAGCCCAGGAT